CACAGTTTGCAGCATCCATCTCTGCCCATGTCCATCTGTGGCAGCCAGAGAGAGAATCATTTCTTAGAATCGCCAAGATTCCCAGTCCCTTATTGTGGCTGGCAAATAACATGTCTCAACACAGAGTAAGCTAACTGGGGCTGGAACAATGGCTCAGCTGTTAAGAGCCCTGGTCCCTCTTGCAGAGGACCCAGGTTCAATTCCAGCACCCACGCGGTGACTCACAACCCCCTCATAACTCTGGTTCTAGGGGATCCAATGCCCTCTTGTGGCCACTGAGGGCACTGAGCATGCACAAGCTACACAGACATACAAGACAAAAAGGCTTACGCGCATAAAAATAAATAGACAAATAAATAAATAAAATAATTCTAAAAACAAGTAACTGCTAAGTGTGAGAATGAAAAACAGGGCTTCTCAAGTCAGTCATTAAAATAATTAATAACACCACATTATGTGAGCCCAAAATTTTCACAGCCATTTAGACCCAAAGTTTTATTTTTCCTTCTCGTCTTCCTCCAAAAGTATTTTCAGTGTCAGTAGCCCAGTAGCCCAGCACGTCCTACACCACTCCTAGCTTATTGTCCTCTAAGAGGAAACAAACAAACAAACAAACAAACAACCCAAATATCCATTTCCTCAGCCCGAATTCCTGTAAGCAGCTACTCTGAGAATTTAAAATTCTTAGAAAACATCACAGAGCGGGTTTTGGTGGTTGTGTCTGTCCTTTAACTCAGAAGAGATTTTCTAAAAGAATCATGGAACAATTCACCTAGAAAGACTTTAATAGTTACTAAAAATTACAGCCCCGGGGGATGGCTCAGTGGGTAAACTGCATAGACAGAAGGACCCGAGTTCAGATCTCCAACGCCCAAGCAATGAAACAACATGGTGGCGGGCAGCTATAATCCCAGCACAAGAGGCAGAGACAGAAGGATGGGTTCCTGGGGTTCACTGGCCATCCACTGAACTAATGAGCTCCAGACTCAGTGAGAAATTCTGTTTCAAAACTTAAAGTGAAGAAGGCCAGAGCAAGGCACCTTGGCAGGGCACCTAAGGAAGAGACATAGGTAACACTGGCTGACTCCTGACTTGTTTATCGCGAGCTCGCGGGTGAGCGGCAGCCAGGGAGGCAGACACGCACGTATACATGCACGTACGCACGTACGCACCCACGCCCATGGCACCCTGATAAACATACCAGTAACTGCAATCGGGCTGGTTTTAGTCCCTTCCCGGGAGGGGTGGGGATAGAGAGAAAAATCTCAACTGTATTTTAACCTCACCAGTTACCCTCCAATATGAAAATCTAGAAATACGGTTAACCCACAAGATCCTTGAAGATTGTAGCCTTCCCACAAGATCTCCGAGGACTTCGCCCCCCTTCCCTCTTCAGCCACACAGTTTGTGAGTTCAGAACTGGGCAGGGGTTGTGTTACTCCGGAGCAACCTCTTAACGCAGCCTGGGGTCTGGAGCACCTGTCTGGATCAATTAATTTTCTGGGTCAATATCGAAAGTCAATAGAGCTTTCTCCCGAAAAGCCCGGGGTGGCAGTACAGCTCCCGGAAGTGACCATACACCGTCAGTAAGGACCCTAACAATACTCGGATAAACCGCAATAGCCCACACGTGACTTCACAGTTCATCAGGCAAGGCCACAGTGAGCTTTGGGGGTCCCCTTCTCCTCCCCAAAACTACCTGCTGCCTGGGAACAACTGCTTAATCAACCTCAGGCTTGACTAAGCATTAGCTCATCCAGCCAGCTGGCTGGAGAGGAAACTTCGAAGATGAACTGAAATTATTTTGGGTGCCTGAAAGTACAAGCTCACTCTCCAGTAGCACGTATAATTAGGATTTTTCTTTTTTTACTATATCTACAACAGGGTTGGAGAGGTGGCTCAGCAGTGAAGGACACTCACTGCTCCTTCCAGACAACTGGAGTTCCAGTCCCCAGTGAGCCCCGATGAGGAGGGTCACCACTGCCTGTAACTGCAGCTCCAGGGGACCCCACGCCTCTGGCCTCCTCCGCAGGCATCTGCACTCACATGTGCACACACCCACATGCAGACTTAAGCACATAGACACAATTAAAAAAAATTTTTTTTTTAAATCGGTAAGACATAAATGAATGAACGGGTCTACAGCGGCGGCAGGCTCTCCTAGGTAATGGCTTTTTACATGTTGGCACGGTTGCCAGGCCGCTCAAGAGCCTTGTGGAATGCCAACGTACAAATCCATTTCTCCATGAGAAGACAAAAAACAGAAGTTAATCAACTCGCCCCGAGTCCATGAAGCAATTTGGCCGTTGGCCCAGGAAGACAGTGTCAAGAGCTCTGGGCCCGCACTCCACATGAGTCTGGAATAAAGCTGAAACCCAAAGATCTATCCTTTTAAAAATAACTAATAATAACCCCCATATATGCAGGAACGGCTAGAAATTGGTACCCTGTCGATTTTCAGAGACACCTTGGCCTGCCTTAAGCATACAGTCACCTTAGAAGTCCTGCCTGTCATGTTACCAATGTCCACAAACTCCAACCAACTACTAAATATAAACAGTGCTAGCACTTCCCACCCCATCAGCCTCACTGCAAGGTCTTCTACGCACTACCCCACCCCATCAAGGGGAAAAAAAAACCCAATACTTTGTGTTCTTACAATCAACCTATACATCAAAGAAGAAAGAGAAAATTCTAAACAAGCTTTGTTTTTGTGCCTGCCCATTTTTATATACGAGGCACAGAACAGGCCCTGTCCCCTCTCACCTTTATAATTTATACTCTGAACTCAACAAAAACCACAGGCCCAGGCCGGTTAACAGAGTACTTTCTGCACAGCTCACAGACTGACTCTTTCACAGCAAGCTTGTGTAAATTCTCTGATATTAGCACATGCCTGCTACGTGGATGCCTGCTTACCAAGCTGTGAAAAGACCCACATTCACTCTGGAACCTACAAAATTAATCTTCTCTGTGCCTTATAGGCAAAGGCCCCTTCCCTCCCTCCCTCCCTCCCATCCCCCTCCCCACCACCACCATGTCAGGCTGGTTTCTAAACAATCAGTTGGCGAAAATGGACTTGCCCAAAAGGGCGGGGCCCAAAGGGGTGTGTCACTCACGACTATCAATTCTTGTAAATCAATTCCTGACAATTGTCACAATATTTTTAAAAAAGAATGAATTATGATTCTTGGACCTTCAAACCTTTATTACCACGAGAACACTGAATGGCGGCGGGGGTTTGGGGGCGGTTACTGTGGCTTGATTAATGGCCAAAGCAAGACAATAAAATAAATCTCATAAATGTTAAGAGGGGAAAAAAAAAACTGAACCACTATTCTTGGCTCCCAGGTTAGACATGTAAATAATTCCACCCTGGAATAAACACACATGAGAGATTCTTATTTACTCTCCCAGTGCGTACACCCAATCAGGCTCAGCTACTCGCCCAGTTAAAGATACCAGCTAATTTGTTTAGCTAATGCCTAGTTGGGAACATGTGATAGGTAGCACTAACAATTCTAACTCAACTCTCAAACTGCCAAATATCAAACCCTCGATCCTAAAATCTGATGGGAGGAAGGACAGAAGACAAAATGAACTGCTTATCAGTAACATAGAGGGGTTTTTTTTGTTTTTTGTTTTAACCAATTTTCCCTTTCTTGACTCAAAACCTGTCTACAGAACTAGGAAAAGCTTAACCGACTTTAGTTAACCCCAGTGTTAGTTGGTTATGCCTTAACCTTACTAACCAGTTCCTGGCCAGACACCCTGGTGCTCAAATTATCCTGGCCAAGTTCAACTCCCCACCCCAGCACCCATCAAAGTAAAAGTATCTGCAGAACCCAGTAGGCTGAGCGCCAAGAAAGCAAGCAAGGAGAGGCAAAGACTGCTGGTTTAACTAGCTAAGTGCTGGGTCCTCTAGCATCTCCTCCAACTGAGCCACACGGCACACTTCCCCACAGAACTCCTTGCGTGAAAAAGTGCCAGTGGTGCAGAAGATTGTCACCGCCTGGGACAACTTAAAACTCCTTTCTAAGAAAGAAAGGAAGAAAGAAAGAAAGAAAGAAAGAAAGAAAGAAAGAGCGAACACCTCTGCTGCCTAAGGAAAAGGCCAAGGCGAACTGCTTCCCCCAGGCATGCTCTGCTGTCTCGGGCCATGCCTCAGCTGGTCATCACTAAGCACGACTTCCACACACTTCACAAGACAGTCCAGAACCACGAAAGATCCAGCACTAACTAGAACACAAACACTTCACTTACCAAAGCAACATTTGTCTGAGGACTTTGACAGCAAGCTGACCCTAACCTGCCGGGAACCCAAAAGCATTTTCTTCTTTAACCCAAGGATGGCAGGCACGCAAGCTCCAGCCAGGTGCTGGCCAGGGGCTGCCTGCCAGGTGCGGTCAGCCTCCCTCCGTGGGTAAAACGGTGGTGGTTGGCTTTGTGATTTCTGCTTCTTCAGCCCACTAGCAGCAACTTCCCAGACTCCCGGACTGAAGTTGGGGAGTGAAGAGGCAAGTTCGCCTGCTTACACACTTCTCCCACCTGGGTGGCCACACTTACTTCTGGGGACTACCCAGCCCCCACAGCGCCCGCAGACCCACATATATACACATATGCACCATGTCAAAAACCCCAAAAGACACATCCCTAGGGTCCTGCGGTTTCTTGGCTGGAAGAATGGAGGCTTTATAATATACCAACCTTCAATTTCAAACCCACCACCGACACCCTTGAAGCCGGGGTTTGCCAGTTACACCGCCCACCTCACCCCTCCCCCTTTGCTGGGATGCTATGAGCCCCCGAGAGGGAACAGAGAAGAAGGCAAGCAGGGAAAAGGCCCTGCTAACGTACTGAAAGTAGAGGCCGCGGGAGACTTGTCTTTCTGTGTCCCCCGCAGGCTTCCCTCCACACTCCACCCCCATCTTCTTACGGAGCATCCCTCCTCCCAACTATTTTTTTTTTTTTTAATGAAACTTAATAAGCTTTTCGCCTACCTTGGCTGTTTCGGCAACAAGTGCCTGGGCAATCCGACAAGGCGACCAATCTCCACTTGGGGGGGTGAGATGGGGGGCGAGCCGAGCTGATGGAATAATTTCAATATTAATTTATGTCAGCCGCCTTCTCGCAGCTACTCATTTACAGTACTGCCCTCAGCCTGTAAACAAATATCGCTCCGCCAGGAAACATACTCCCCAGATGCAAGCCCCTCTCCCCAAGCAGGGAACCTGGCCCCTCGCCCCTCCCTCCCACAGCACGGCCCCCTCCCCCCCAAGTCCCGGGTGGGAAGCTCAGGGTTTTCCAAAGCACCAACTCACCACCTTCGGCCACCACCCCAGCAAGAAACTTACTCGGTCCGGTCTACGCCTCAACCCTCCCTCCAGGAAATCTCCTCTCCATATGTATTCAACCACCCCGCAGGAAATCTGCTCCCCCCTCCCCCCTTCTATATACATGCACACCCCCCCCTCTCCTCCTCACGCGCCCTCCCCGGCCAGAAACTTACTAGCTAGCAAGCAAGCGTGCAGGCTCTCTCGTTCTTGGAAACTTACTCCCAGATACAGCACCACCAGCACCCTTCTTTCCCCTCCTCCCCCAGGCCCTGCTCCCCTTCCTTGCCCTCCAACTCCAAACTCTCCGCATCCAGCCCCTCTCTCCCTCCCCGGTGGAAATTTGCAGCGCCGGGCTGCGCGCGTGCACCCACCCTCCTCCCCTCCAGGAAACTTACTCCCCATCTGCATGCACCGCCTCTCAGCCATCGCTTAGAGGGAAGGGGGTGTGCTGGGGAGACAGAAATACATATGTATCTCTCGCCCCTCCCCCGGCCGCAGCCCACTCAGGGCCGAGCAGCGCTAACCTGGCCTTACCTTTTTGCATGGCCCCCTCCCCGAGCCCTCCGGATCCGCTCCCCAGCACCCCAACCCACCCCTTTTCACCCATCACCCACCCCTAGCAACCGTTCCTAAGCTCCTCTCGGCCTTTTTTTTTTTTTTAATCCAGGATGCAAATTCCTCCCCTGTCAGCAAATCGACTGTCAAATTATTTTCTTGCAAAAGGAGAAAGGCGGGGTGGAGGGGGGGTCAGAAAAGGGGGGCAGACAGGCGGGTAAAGGGAGGGAGAGGGACAGAGGAGGGGAGAGATATCCCTCCGCAGAGCTGGGGCTGGCGGCGGGCGGGGAAGCAGGAAGTAAGGTGTCCAGCGCGGCGGGTTCTCCGCCGCGGCCCCCGCCCGCGCCCCTGTCCCCCGGGGCGCCGCGCTCCGGCAGGCGCGGGCCGCCCGGTGCATTGTTCGCAGCCTTTCCCCAGCCGGTGCACCGACGACTTTTTTTTTTTTTTCCGCGCTCCGCGTTGTGTGTGCGTGAGCTTGCACCTTTTGTAAGCTGGCGAGTCTCTGAACGCAAGAGGATGGGACCACGAGCCGAGGACCTGTCAGTCCCCGGAGTGCAGCAGGGACTCGGATCCGAGGAGGGGGTGGGGGACTCGAGGCCCCCTTGGAGTGGGAGGGGTGGGAGAGCAGCTTGGTGGCCGGGAAGCTGCCGCCTTCCCACTCCGGACCCGTTGCAGGATTGCTTCCTGCGTCGCAGTCGCGGTTATTGTAAAAGGCGCGTTGCGAATCTAACGACTCGGGCTGGGAGATTTTTTTGTTTTGTTGTTGTTGTTTATTTATTTAAGGATTTGCAAAGATGCCGAGATCCAGGCGGGCTGCAGGAAAGGATTGTGCCTCGAACCCTCACCACCACCACCACCGCATCCCCCGGTCTTTCTAGGGCCTGGGGGTGCTCCCAGGAAGGGATCTGCGGGTTCTGGAGAAGCTCGCGCCTCCATCCTCTGCCCCTTGGGGGCGGGGAGAGGTCTCCATCTCCGCTGGGTCTGGGAGGGAGGTTGCCTAGGAGAGAGGCGGGCAGGAGGGAGGGAGGGAGGAGAGGAGGGGGCGCGGGTGCGGCCCTGCGTCCGCCCCTCGCCGTGCGCCATGACTGTGGAACGTGGTGCCGGGGAGGAGGGCCCGCCGCCGGGGGGCCGCCCGGGGCTGCTCGGCATTGGTTGCAGAAACCCGAGCCCTGGAGTCGCTCCCCCTCCTTGGGCTTGTCTCCTCCTCCTGCTCTGCGGGGGAAAACCGCTGCACCCAAACGGAGAGCAGCTGCGAGCAAGGGGGCAGGGCGCCGGCTGGCAGGCTAGCCAAGGGTTCGAACCCCCCCCCCTCGGGGGGCGCTGGCCTCGGAAATGGGAAAAGACCCGAACAAGACCTCGTCCCAAGACTGCAGATCAGTCCAGGTGCCACGACCTTAGGGCAACATCCCAGCATCTCCAGCCATCTCCGTACTTCTTTTTTGGTCTGGGGAAACGTGCACCACAGATAGTTTAACTAAACCAGCCACCCCGCGCGGAGATCTAGACTTCGGTGCTGGAAGATCTGTGGGACAACGAGTATTTTCTTTTTCGTTTTTTTTCCCACGAGGAAAAGTTACACCATCCTTTCCCTCCCCGGTGTGGAGGAATCGTTGTGCCCTTTTCTTCCCAAATCTGGCGCGAGATAAGCCACTGTCCCCGACCCACCCCACCCCCACTTGAGTGAGCTCCGGGTGTGGACAGGGCGGGAGAGAGACTATATGGAAGCTTAAAGCATGAGGTCATGGGTTGAAGAGGCTGCTGCCAAAAGCCGCGGAGGTGGTGTGTATACGCGCGTGTGTGTGCGCGCGTGCGTGGGTGGGTGGGTGTGTTTGGAGGGGTAACGGTTCTCCATCTTCAGCACTGGAAAGCCCTCTCATATAATCCTATAAATTCTAAAACACCTGAACCAGGGAGACCCTCTGAAAGAAACAGAAAGGGGCTCGGGTCTGTTTTCTCTCAGTGAACCTCTGGCCGGTGCACGGGTCCTTACGACTAAGAGCCGAGGACAGCGAACAGGAGCATGGCTTGCTCACCTTCCCAATCCTCTGCTTCCATCAGGACTGCGGCCCTTCCCAAGACACTAGTGTTCCACACCCCAGCTTTCCGCCTGCAAGTCCCTCCCGACTGCTCTCAGAATAAAGCAAGTTCTTAAGCAACCCCACCCCCCTTTTAGCGGGGGAGGTGGTGGTGGTGGTGGTGGTGGTGGTATTTCACCTCTGCAGTCCTCTCTTCCTTCAGTCATAAGCCTTGCCACTGCTTTGCTCCGGGGGTGGGGGAGGGGGCTCCCTTACCTTCACCTACCTGATTTTACTAGACCTTTTTGGACATTCAATGTTCCAGTCCACTGCCCCATCTCCAAGAACCCTTCTAGAGGTTACACCTTCATCTCTAACTCCCTGGAGTTGGCGGGCCTTTCTCCAGACCTTCTGGCAGCCAGGCTGTCACAGAACTGGCCCTAAGAAAGGCCCTTTGCCAAGTTTGAGAGCCACCACTGCCCCAGGGCCTGACGGTTCCCTGAGGGAGTTGGTTTGGATTCCTCAAGAGACCCCGGGAGAAAGCATCTCTGTGACCTACCTACAAACCTGAGCCCCTCCACCTCCAGACTTCTGCATTCACACCCACACAGCAACAAGAGAGAAAAGGTCTCCAAACAAAAGCTCCTCCCTGGGGCAGATAAGAAACCCTAATAGATAAGAGGTTTCAGGCTGCTGAGTTAAGTAACTGGCCCCAGGTCATATACAGACCTTTATTACCACCCAGGTTTGCAGGGGCGCCTAGACTACAGGCTGCAGAAGGAACACCATGCTTTCTTACTTGGTCCACAAGTTCACCAGGAGCAGAGAGACAGTGTTGCTGAAGAGTTAGCCCAGAAGACCTTGAGCAATCTCTCTCTGGAACGATGGCACATACAGTAAATTGACATGGTGAGGCTTAAAAGAATTCATAGTTACAAGCTTTAGAACACCGCAAGAAGCCCTTGTTTGTTTTTAATGGGGTCCTGTAGTCCTCTCTCTCTTCCCCCCCCCCACACACACACAGAGGAGAAAATTATGTCCCCAGAGTCTGAAATTATTTAAGCAAAGTTATCTTTGGCCTACATGATTGGAAAATACCAATAATGACGTAAATAAATAAAAAGACCACTTTTAGTCAATGAAATCACCTTTAAAAAAGACAACTTTGATTTGTCTTGTGTGTGTGAGGCTGGAACATGGAGGTCAAAGGACAACTTGTTAGCAAGTGTTCTCATCCTCCAAGAGGGATCCAGGGATTGAACTCACGTCATCCATCTTGGTGGAAGGCACCTTTACTCACTGAACCAGCTCACTGGCCTTGATCAAGGAAATGACCTTTTAAAGGTAATCTGCAGAGTGACATACCCGATCCCCTACAAGGACTATGGTTTTTAGACTGTTCTGGTACAGGTCTGCAATTAAACTCAGTCTATATTGTACTATATACTCTATTTGTGGTAGATTGGTTGGTTGGTGACAGGGTAATACTATGTAACCCTGGGTAGCCTGACACTTTCGTTTTTTTTTTTTTAAAGATTTATTTATTTATTATATGTAAGTACACTGTCGCTGTCTTCAGACACCCATATGAGGGCATCAGATCTCATTGCAGATGGTTGTGAGCCACCATGTGGTTGCTGGGATTTGAACTCATGACCTCTAGAAGAGCAGTCAGTGCTCTTAACCGCTGAGCCATCTCACCAGCCCAGCCTGACACTTTCAATGCAGCCCAGGCTGTCCTGGAACTCACAAAGATACGCCTCTCAAATGCTGGGATTAAAGGTATGCACCACCACACCCTCATATGAATTTTTTAATGACTCAAATGTCTGGAGAGATAGCTCATGGGTTAAGAGCACGGATGCCCTTCCAGAGGTCCTGGGCTCAAGTCCCAGCACCCAGGTGGTATTCTACAACCATCTGTAACTCCAGTCCCAGGGGAGCTGACGCCCTCTTCTGGTCTCCAAGGCACTGCAACACGCGTGGTACACTGACAGGCATGGAGGCAAAAGACCCATACATATAAAATAAAAACAAAATGAAAAGAGAGAGAAAGTCAGAGAGAAGATGGCTACTATCAAAATAGCAGATCTTTTAACTGAATTGAGCTAAAAGGTATCCTAGCCCCTGGGCACAGCTTGCCTTCTGGAGACTGAAGCCCGGTGACCACTGTACAATAATGGAAGTTACTGTCAAAGCTGTTAGGCCTTGGTCATCAGTTCCCAGCACTTGTCCTCGTGGTAAAACTTGCTTAAATGTAATTTTCTCCTCTTCCTCTTCTTCTTCCTCCTCTTCCTTCTCCTCTTCCTCTTCCTTTTCCTCCTCCTCTTCCTCCTCCCCCTCCTCCTCCATAGGCTTAATGGTACCAAGTTCGAACAACAAAAAGGTCTCTTCTCCACGCTGCCCCCATCCACTCCACTTTCCCTGAGTAGAGGCAAGCATATTCCCAGAGGGAAGATCCGCCCAGCAGGGTTTCCAGAGGAGGCCGTGCAAGACTCTTTGGATTCCTATTTCAGTCTTTATGTTCAGTGCTCCTTTTCCAGCCCAGGCAGAGCCACTGTCCTACCCCCCACCTACACACACACACATAAAACACACACACACTTCTATTCTTCCCAACTGCTTAGCCTCATACAAGATAAATGGTTGCCTGAGCTACTCTCATTTGAAAATGA